CATATATTTATTATTATATTTTATAAATTTTAAAATAAATTTGCCATAACTAATTAAACATTTATTTAATTTCCTTTGTGAAATTTTGTTTGGTTTAGAATTTAGAATTTAAATACAGCAACATGTTTTAATATAATATTAAATAGTAATTTAATATTACATAGTATCAATCGAGTTCAAATTGGAGAATATTTTATTCTATACACATTCTTTATTTTTAAACTTCATGTAAATATCTTCTAGTTTTTTCAGTTTGTCATCGTTTGCTCTGACGGAGCTCGTCTTTTTTCGGCAAGCGCACGACATGTGCTTGTCGCACATTTTTTTTTGCAAACTCTTTAGTTCGCTCTCTCTTTCTCTATCCACGTAATCCTTTTTTTTGCACACTCGTCTTTCTCTATCCTATCTGCCATCGTCTATCTTGGATAATTTTCTCGTCTTCTCATCCTGATTTCTTCGTCCACGCTCGAAATGCATCTCATTTACAACGTTGGATTTTAGTTACATATTTTTTTCACGTACTTCTCATTCTCCTCCTCATATTCCTTTTTCTTTCTCCTTGACATCCGTCGTAGTTAGGAGAACTCTATAGGAGAAGAACGTAAAATTTCGACTGAAAATAGCGATATATGTTATGCAAGCTAAAACTTTTCATTTATCCTGAACAAAGTAAAACATAAAATACAATTAAATAGTACAAAGTAAGATAAACTTGTATTAATTTCTAGAACATATTGTTTTTTGAGTATTGTTGAATGTTTTCTTTTAATATAAATATATTTAAATGTATAGAAAACAGTAATTTTTTATTTACTGTAATAATAATAATAATAATAACAATGACAATTGGTAGACATATTTAGTGCAAAATGTATTATTAAAAAAACATTATGTTAAAATAATATTTTATAATAATATTTTAACTATTATTTTTATTTCTGCATTCAGTGTTAAACTTATAAGTTAAATTTGTAAACTTGTATGTTAAACTTCAGTGTAATATTTATACTTTAATCTCTCACTATTTATATCAACCTTTTGAATCGGAACTTTTTATCAATATTAATTTATAAAAGATTTTTTTTTCTAAAGATCACTGCATTTCCAATTCTGACCTCAGAATTCTAAAGTTCAAATTTCAAAAAATCTGATATTATTAAATTCGATTTTAGATTTTTGATATTTCTGAGTTTGAATGTAGCTTGCAAATATCAAATTTTAAAAATGTAGTAACCTCTATGAAGGAGAATATAGTGTCAAAGGACTAATTACAGTTTGAAAATCAGTTTGAAAATTATTAGTTAAATATTTATGTAGCACTGATGAACTTTATGTAAAACGAAACTGGAGAGTTGATATCACATCGCAGTTTAAAAACTCTTTAAAATCAAGGTCATAAAATTATTTTTTTTAAATTCTGTCTACCATATTGAATCTACCATTTTGAATTTTTTTACTTTTGACCTCAATTCGAATAAAACATTATCAAATTACTGCCAAGTTTTATAAAAATCGAGAGAGCAATTTATGAAAGAAGGTGACCCCGAATTGATCGACAAGGTTTAATGAAAATTGATCTTGTTATAATATTTATGTTTACTCATACTATATATATATATATATGTCGGATAATCAATTTCATATATAAGAAAAATATATTAAAATATATTTTTAATTTTTTGCGTAAAATCGTTCCTTTTGATTCATTTAATATATTAAGATAATATCGCGGCGATTTAATTTATTCTTCTACTTCAGAATCTCACGTTTAATTATATTATAAGTAACTTTTATATATGTTTAAAATATAAGTATTAATAATAATATTTTCGTTGTATATTAATATTTTGGATACAAACGTGATTAATAATTTTATATTATTAAATATCTTTGCATAAATTTAATTTTGATACAATCAAAGTAGAAAGCTGAATGGATAATGCTCCTCCATCTAACGCTACGCTTTTATGACTCAATAACGCATTCCGTGTTACGTATACACATAGGCAAATGCCGTGGGTTATAAATTATGCCAGGAAACTTCGCGAGAAGAATATTGGTGGCGCACGCAAAACTAAACAAACCTTTCACGAGGATCCTAATGACACGTAACGAACGCGACTGACACGAACTATGCTCGAACTTCAAAACGCGAGGGGGTAGCTTTCGTGTAAATACTGAAGAGGCAGGGAGAAATGCAAGAAAGTCGAGCGAAATTACCCAGAGGTGAAAGAGTATGAAAATTAATTAATTATAATATTGAGGTGCGTCAAGCTGTTAAACGATGTTCAATAGTTTCATCAAAGGATGACGTATAAAATATACAGAAGGTCGAAATCTTTTGGTTACTTTTTTAAAAAAAGGAAAATATTGTCACTTACAATTTGTAATTTATTGAATACATTTAAATATAAATTTGAATATAAATTCTATCTTTATTTCTATCTTTAAATCGTTAAATACTAATTTAATTTGGTGTTAAATTGGCAGTCCTATGATATCATTATTTTTTTAAGGAGAATTAAAGATACTACTACTTATATTTGATTCTTTTAAAGTAGTTTTATACAATTATTTTTCGAAAGGAGCGTACACTTGATATTTTTTTTTCATCCTTATATGAAAGAATGTTGAACCGTGTGTATTGTTTGACCAATGTCACAGCAATTCGTCTGTTTACTGTCATTTGTTTGTTGATCGATCGCGATGCGTACCACTATCTCTTGTCAAACATTCGTTTAAACGGTAGACTGGTCGTTCTCGCGATCTCTCCCCGAACATCGACGCGGTATCGTGGCGCGATCTCGACAAATTATTCGGTAGTTATCGCCCTCCCCATCATGGACGACACTAGATTGTACAAGTACTATCGAACATCCGGATACGGTTTGAATTCGCTGGTCAGAAATGCGGATCGATTAGGTTAGCCTGATTTCATCGGGGACTTTAATTTTTCACACGAACCGTGCTTTCAGATATACCGATTTCTCATCGCTGATTATAATCTAAGACGATTTTTCAACTTAAGTATTTATTGCGGAGCGGTGACTTTTGTTACTTTCATCTTTGTAATAATTATGGCCATCTGTTCGATAGCGGTGAGTTTATTATAAAATAATTTTAATTAGAGAACGGATAATAGAATAGTTTTACTTTTTGCATGTATTATTTTATTTTATTAAGCATAAAATTTATCAGATAATTAACAAAAAGAGTTTAGATTAGTCGTTAAAAAGTCTGTTCATTAACTTTATTCATAATAACAAGCATGAAAGCTTCTATGAATTATTCGTTTGGTGAGAGAAAATTCAAGTGAGCTTATTATTCTGGCAATTAATTTGCATATGATACCGTATGACTCGATACAATAATTAAAACGCCATGACAATACAAGTACACGATTCTATAATTAATTGTTTGCTTTAAATCCAACGTAATAATATTATTTCAGCGTGTAATTAATCAAGGAACAATAAACGATCGACGTCGCGGAATTATCGATATATTCCCTTTCGCATCGCGATCAGGTTTTGAATAGATAATGTTCACCGTTATATATATCGTAACGAAAGAAAACGAGTCACGTATCTTTCGAAAACCTTGCCAGCGCCAAACTCTCTTGCCGGCTTAAAGAAAATGTAAACAACTTTGCGGGGCAATCACTTGAATACTGATATGTCCGCGCACGTGCCACGTTGTAACAAATATAATTCTTACATATATAAAGTATATCATATGCCTTCAATCTTGACGAAGAGGGTTTCAGCTACATATCTCCCACGCAATAACGTTTGCTTTAATCCTTATCGGCGTAACGACGTTCAGAAGCTACAATTTTGAACTTGAAAAATTTGCAAACATAAAAGTTTTTATTGACCTTTTATCCGCTATTATTTTTATTTCATGACATTTATGTATTGATAAAATAGTTTTTATTCAGAAAACACGCGATAATTTTATAACAATTTGCTACTATTTTTAACATGATAAGCATACAATAATAGGGAATATTAAATTATAATATAGAATATAGAATATAGAATAAGGAATATAGAATTAGAAATAAATGTAAAAAAAAAATAGAAAGATTAATTTAATAAAATAAAATTTAATTTAATATATTAATTGCCTTAAATATTTAATATTTTCACGCTAGGGTTTAAATATGATGACGTTGAACAATACACTTTTTTGTGAATTGTTCGAAAAAGCGGAAAAGGTAAGTTAGGCAGTTTTGGCAATCACAGCTAAACTGAAGTTTGATCGAGGCTAGAGCGATATTGAACCTCCACACTTTAAAAGCATCAATTGCCAATAATTTGTAGAAATTACCACGAATGGAAAGTGTCGTTAGCATCATACCTCCGTACAAATGTATTCACAAGCATGTAAGTTTATTAAAGATTTTTTAAAGTAAAAATACGATTAATGATTTTCTTTGTCACACTGCTAATAACTTCAATCTCTAGTTACAACGAATGAATGTGTTTCAAGAGAAAACGAAAAAAATGGTAGGTTTTGATAATAATTTATCATTCGCTACTCTTACTAATTATATTTTAATATCTGAATATTCGGATTTTGTTGCGCACAGTTACGCAAAGAGCAATTGGAATTGGAAATAATGAACAGCAAAATGTCGTGTATCGAGAAGTTATTGAAGCCCGAGGTAAATTATTTGTCACGATAAATGGGATACATTGTGCGGTCCGGTCGTTATTATTAGAGTAAATAAAAAAAATTCTCGTTCTAAACTTGAGTGCTATCCAGGCGTGTATTCTCTGTCACCTTTTTTTAATTCAACGCTATTGATAAAAATAATCGATCCATAGTTCATTCGCATCCCTATTCAGAATTTACACGCGATCATCGACCTTAAATAATTTAATAATTCGCAGATCGCAGAGATGAATACGATGAAACTCATAGAAACTCTTACAAAGGGTTACGAATAACCGTGTGCCAATCGCGAACTCGCTTTTAATTAAAATTTTGCCGTCGTCGATGAATGAGAGATTTAATAAAACGCATTTATACGATTTTCCGCGTATACGCGTGGGATATTGTTACGATAGAAAGGAGTATCTTTTTCGCTACACGCGAGGACGACCTATAAATACTGAATTACCAAAGGTCATATAAAGGTATCATGGTCTCTGCAACTTTCGGTCGTTGCGTCGGGCATTAGATCAGTCTCGGCAGGCAATCGCGCTCGATTGGCAGACATAAAATTAGATTCGACCCTATCTTAGACCTTTCTATGGCTATCCGAGTTTATCTTTCGCGACGAGATATATTTTTACTCGTTTTGTTAACTCTTTCTGAACGCGGATATTTCGATACTTTAATTAAGCGTGTCATATTTTTATTTCTTGCCGACAATAGAATTGATATTCAACGTCGAATGTAAACTTCCAGATTAGTGAGTTATGTTGAAAGTATCATTAACAAGACAATATCGCAAATTACTATAAATATCACACATTCTTATCGCCAAATGATATTCTGTTCGATAATAATTGATGAAATAATGAAATTGTGCAAGCCAGGAACTTTCCGCTTTAGCTTAGTTTCTTTTAATCAATATGTGACGAATCTTTTCCGCGATACATGCATCATTATATTGTGTAAATTAATTCATTTACCTCCTAATAAAATATTTATTATTGATAAAATTATTGACATGCAATAGTAATGTATATTGCATTAATTGAATATTGTCATTAAAATTTGTTGATAGTAACTATATCCGATTATTATGCTGATAATGTATGTATTATATAAACATCATATATATAACTCTATTAATAATAATCTCTCTAGGAACAATCCGAGTGGCGTCGTAGTAGATCACCAAAGGTATATCATCGCTCCATTAATGTAGAAGCATCAAAATAACAAGCGAAAAAGAAGATACATTTATATGTAAAATCCAATGAAATTTTATTCTCTATTTTATAATATTTATGATGTTTTCATTAGCGATGTATAATTGCTATAAATGTAATGTTGTCTCATGTCACATTTTAAACATGTAACATAAATTTTGTGGAATACAGTAAACCAATAACATACATTTTCACATTTTATTCTCGTTAATGATATTTAATTATAAACATTTATGATTCCATCCGTGATTTGATAAATGTCTCAAAATTATATTAGATCTAAAATTATATTAGGTCCGTTCGTTATATTTATGGATGTAGAGCACAAGTTATATCTGTTCACAAGTAATATCACGATATCTGTTAGATATGGATTAATATAAAACTTAATGAATTATAACTTGATCTTCGATAGTATGTCGAAAACATTTTCACGTAGCAGAAAAACAGTTGCAAACAATGGTTTTGTTATCGAAGTATCGTTGTTCTGCGTCCTTTTTCAAACACGCGTAATTTTCGTATGATCACATCCAAAGCAGTATAAATCGTGACCTATTAAATAGACTGTTTCACGTGCAAACGCACAGTTTTTCTGACAAAATTTTTGCGCTAAAATAGGCGGCGACACGGGATGTTGAAATTCTAGTACGTGCCGAAACTCGCTGAAAAAAAATGTGACGATCTTTTTTGCGGTCGACCACATGTGAACGACGAGTGCTGTTACGTTTTGTAAAAAGTAAACGCCATAACGTCGCTTACGTTATACTCTTTCTCTTTTCCATGCTTCGATATTCAACCATTTTAGACCGTGTTATTTTAGACCCGTATTCACGAAAGTCATTAAAGGCGACCATGTACCATTTTTTTCAATATTTTTCATTATACGTGTAATAATATATTTATAGATATATTTATATATACATATTCGTTTGATTATTCATTCTATTATATCTATTCTCGAATATTCATTTTTATGTAATATGCAAAAATCAAATCGATAATACATTACGATCTGTAAATTGAGAAATTGTTAATTAAAGGTCGATTAACTTGAACTTATAGAAATACCAAATTTAGAAATACCAAAACATCTTGCTGAAAATTCTATTTAATCAATGAATTTTCCTGAACGCATTTCAGTAACGATAATAGAGAAATTAGACTTTGGTTCCACAAAATAAAAATTTGTTATAGTTATTATATTAAAAACAACTTATTTAATGTAAAATTAATCAAATATTCCTTAAGAACGAGAGGTTGAATATATAAGTAATATATACGTTACGTAATAATAAGAGCTATTGTGAGCACAACACTATTGTTTCGAGACAATAACCATTGAAGTTTAACACTATTATCCAACTTGGAAATAAGAAAAGACAATTTAGCATGATTACAATCTACCAAACTTTAACGTCTATTATATTAAGACGATCACGCGCGCGCACGCGTGTTTTGTGTGTGTGTGTGTGTGTGTGTGTGTGTGTGTGTGTGTGTGTGTGTATTTGTGCTATATGTGGTCGTTGCGCAAAACTGTGCCGATGTAAAATGTATCATTAGTATATGTACTTCCTACAACTTTAGCCACAATAAGTTCATATTGAGGAAAAATGGAAAAAAATCGAAGATAAGAATACTATATCGATACTATATCGATTATATGTACACAAATATAATTAATTTCCTTCCATTTTGAAACTAATTAAATAAATTATTTATAATAATTTAATTAAGAATACATTAACTTGACGTTTAAACACGAAAAGTCCTATGGAAATATGTACGTATACTATAATATTAAAAATTTTTTAAAAATCTTATAAAAAAAAACAAAGAAAAAGTAAGATTATAAAACTATTTTTATCTTTCTAAATTGAGTCAATATAATATTTTTTAAATCTGAAATAATGTCTTATATTATTCGACCTACATTTGGTTTATATATAAACTTCTATTTCTATTCCTGATTAAAGTTGACTCACCCCCGATGCCGACCGATCGCGCACCATTCCTCTTCTTTTCTCGCCTAAGCTTACGGATGTCGCCAGTAGTGCCGGTCCGAACTGTCACGGCGCAACGAGTCTGGCTACAACCGTCTGTTTCCACTTTCGATCCCCCGTTACGGCAGGGGTTGGAGAGACTGGCTCAGGAATTGAACGCGGCTACGTGGCGTACGAGAACAGGGTCTTTGCTCCCGTTTAATATTTTAGCCAGTCCATTGGCTGCTGCCGCTCGAGGCATCGACATGCGCTCTGGCTTTCGGCTCGTTCCGTTCCGCTCGGCACGGTACGGCACGGCACGATACTGCACAGCACGGCATGGAACGGCACGGCACGCCGCGCTGTTCGCACGCCTCGTTACGTCAGGTCGGACTTGCAGCTCCGGGGTGCAATCTAACGAATGCGCTACGCGGCATCCGATATCGATATGGGGATGAAACGGATCGATTCTCGCCGCACCACGCCGCGCTGCGCCGCGCGCGCTCGCCCTGTTTATTCGGCCATCGATCCCGCACCTATCGAACCGTAGTGGCCGCTTACGGTTCGGGAAGTATTGCATTCCGACCGATTCATGAAAACAGCCTCGGAAGGACCTCGTTATAAACAGTAGATCGTTACCATATCGTTAAACTCGGATTTTTCTGTCTATATCTTCTTCCCTAGTGTAAAATCGAATTAAAGATAAAAAGGGAACTGCTAAAAACAGTTGGAGTTCTAAAGAAATACAGCATCTTACGCAGGAACTTTAATTCTACAATATCGCTTGGTTATATCACTTTCTTTTTTCCTTTTGATTTCTTTAGAATCTGAATTGATTTGATAGTTGCTTTTATAAGTGCTTCTGCATGATTCGCAATTTGCAAATGCTGACGCAGAATGACCATCATTGCACGCAAGGTATACGCGGATGAAAATTAACCGCACGCAATAAAAAAATAAATGCAAATTGTTGCATTTGATAGCATCAAACAGCATGATATTTTATAGAATAAAATGGTTAGATATTTATACTATTTTCTTTTTTTTTCTATTAATTATTTTTTTTAGATTCTGAATTGATTTGATTGTTGTTTTTACAGGGTTACCACAAAACTGAAAGTCAGAGAAATCAGAGAAATGTCAGGGAAATTGAAAACAATTAGGGTAAATTAGGGAAAGCTAGAGAATTTTGAACAATTTTCTGGAAAATGAAAATTCTTGACTTTAAGAAATTTATATTATTATGCGTATATCACATAGTTTTAAAATACTACTAACTTAATAATAAATGCAATATGAATGATAATTTATATTGCTGTGTTAAATTTCTCCAGTAACAAAAAAATATTTAATGATTTCCAAATTACAAAAAAATACAAGAAAAGTTCAAAATATTATTGAAAACATAAAAAAAAATCATCTGGAAACGGGGAAAAGTTATTGATACATTCTATGATAAAGAATTTATGACAATCCTGTTTTTATACAAAACAATTTTTACAAAAATAAAACGTATTCATTTGATAGCATTAAACATCTTTGGATAACAATTAAATGGTTCGATATTTTAAACTTATGATATATGGAACTGCATTTGATGCTTGTGGGAACTAACGCGAGGCAATGCATCATGTTTGCCCGATGTAACATTGATGAATGGATTATAATCGCGAAGTTCAGGATCGATAAAAGATCATAAAGCTAAATTTTTTTGTACGAAATATTTCATAAGCCGCAGATCTCCCATGTGTTAACATATAAAGGAATAATTGCTGACTTTAATATGCAAACTGCGATAAATTTTTATACGTAATTTAAATATTTGTGATATCGCAGTTTGTCTTAGATACGTGATAAAAAAATATTGACAATTTTTTTTTATGTTTGACTTTGAAAATTCAGTGGAAACGCGGTTCCTCCTACTCTCACTTCATCTCCGTGCTACGATCTCAGGATTTTTAAACCTCGTGAAATGGCAACCCTAATGTTGACGTTGGAGAATCGGGTATAGAGTAGCTTCTATATCGTACACTACGTGGTCACTGAACCGTGCGGAAAATTTTTAAAGTAGAAGAAACCTTACAGCACACAGACTATTGCTGGCATAGCACAGACGTCTAAAAGCATAACTTGTATGCTTCCTGCTTGCTGTAAAGCCGCGTGTCTACATAATTAAGTTTAGTATATAATAAAGCTATAGTATTGTGACGTAAAGTCAAAATTAGTTGGCAGCGGGATTTAACAAGCCTGGTATTTAATAAAACGAATATTAAATTTGAAGTGCAATTCGAAATAAAATTTTTGAATCTAAATTCAGAAATTTCTCTATGTGCGCATAAAGAATTGAAATTGAAGAATTGAAGGATTGATCGATGTTTGTGCTTTTGATACGTGACTCGACTTGGCTTCTTTTGTCATTGATCGACTATAGTCAGTAAAGCCGTATGCTGATTGGCATTTTGTGCCGACTAGCATAGATCGATTGACACGTATTCAGTAACGGGCAATGCCCAATCGTTAAAGCCGATTATAGTAAAGGATAGAATATAGAAGACGTCTTAAGCAGAAATAGATTCACAAATTAAAAATGAAAATAGGTTTATTAAAGAAGAATATGAGCAGAAATATGAACGTAGCATGATGTAATGATATTTAAGATTAGATCATTGAAAAATGTATAATTTATTATCATCCTTTTTTATCCACAACATGATTACTAATGCAATTTAAAAAAAATAAATGATTATAAATATCTTTTAGACTGACAATAATAAATTAAATAAAAAGAAGAATCCTGTTTTTTATTTATAGAATTGAAAAACGTATCTACAAATTTACACATAAACATTGTCAAGTAACTAAGTACTAAGATCTCTCTTAGTTGAAAATAAATGACTTTAATAATATATTTAGCCTTCAGGATTTATTCAAATTTGAGTTTGTTTAATATTTTATACTACAAAAGTAGTTCACCGCGGATGCAAATGCGGTCGAGAGATGCGCAAGTAGCTAGTGATTATATATTTTATAA